ACGGACTACACGTCGTTGTATTCCAGAAGACAGAACTATTCTTCTAATATTGTTCTGTTTTATATAGTTAAGTTAAACCGTCACTACAACAAAAATACATACTGTATTTAAAGTTTCATAATTAAAACTTGTATTCCTGCTACAAGTTCCGGTCACACAGGACCATCATCAGGCAGTTAATACAGGAATACGTGTACTCGTTGAATTACTAATATGGATGCAACGTGTCACGCTATATGATAGCAGAATTGTCTCAAGTTAAGTAATAAGTATTATAATTAAGTGTATAAAATATATAATATATGAAGGTATGTATGTATATGTATGTTCTGTTTTGTTTCTAACATCTTTTGGGCCCTTAATTCTTGTTACTGTAGACAGACGCCCCTTCCTCCACCTCTGAGTATTGTGATTCTGTAGTTCAGCATTCCGCTGCAATTGTTCAAATAAGCGTCCACTCTTTATCTTCTGTCAAAATTGCAACACTTTTATATTCTACACTTCAACACTACATGTTTTGGCCTCAAACGGCCATCTTCAGGTGTCTTTATGTTACAGATATTTTACTAAAACTGTGTTAAAACTGCTACACTGTTCTAATTCGTGTTAAAATCACACGTTGTAGTCTTCTTAAGCAATAGGAGATAAAGTCCGTTAAAATTTCTGTTGCATATTATATCACCTCATCCGGGGCGTCGTCATTTTCGTAAATGGATCAAGGTGTTTTTCTCGGCAGCTTGCCCCTCACGTTCGTGGTCTACTTTCAGTTTTTGACTGCCATATGCTCCTGGTTTGTGTGTGCTTCCTCCACAGCGTGTGGTGTTGTCTTTATTAGCCGTTTGAGGCCGAAACTTGTAGCGTCGAAGTGTAGAATGTAAAAGTGTTGCAATTTTGACGGAAGATAAACAATGGACGCAAATCTGAGTATTGGGGTTCACTCATTTATGGAGCTGAGCCCTTCTCGAGAAGCCGCCAATTCTGCAGCTACTAAAGAATTCCCAGCATTTTATGGAACCCGACGGCGCATTACCGTGTTCACAAGAACCCTACATTTGTCCCTGTCCTGAGCCAGATCAATCCAATCCATAACCTCCCAGTCAATCTCTCTAAGATTAATTTTAATATTGTCCACCAACTTACGCCTTAGTCTTCCCTGTGATCTCTTTCCTTCTGGCTTTCCCACCAATATCCTATATGCATTCCCCTTCTCCCTCATTCGTGCTACATGCCCTGCCCACCTCATCCTCCTCGAATTGATTATTCTAATTATACTTGGAGAAGAGTACAAGTTATGAAGATCCTCATTATGCAGTTTTCTCCAACTTCCTCTCACTTCATCTCTCTTCGGTCCAAATATTCTCCTCAACACCCTGTTCTCAAACACCCTTAGTCTATGTTCCTATGTCAGAGACCAAGTTTCACACCCATACAGAATCACAGGCAAAATTATAGTTTTGTATGTTCTAATTTTTATGTTTTTGGACAGCAGACGAGAAGACGAAAGTTCTGGACTGAATGGTAGCAAGCATTGCCCGTTTCAATCTCCTCTTAATTTCCTCCTGAATCAGGTTTTGATCTGTTATCGTCGTTCCCAAATATCTGAAGTGTGCCACATTTTCAAAACATCTGTTAGCTACCTGTTACGTTTGTCTAATTTAACTTGTAACGTTTCATTTTTTCAATTACTTACTACAGTATCTACATCAGCAGCACAAGACCCATTGACCCTGCTACAACACTGAATCCCATAACATAGAGCTGTTCATATAAATCACTGTTGCTTTGCAATTTCTCGTCGGTCACTGTTATAACAGCAACATTTGACCCGCTGCTTGCGGACCCCTCCGTAATCTCAGCGTGCTGTTATAACCTTGTAGTGTTGGGAGGGTTTAGTGTCCCTAGTGGCCAAGACGACTACCCAGCGAAATCTTATCCGTAGACGAGAAGGAAGCTAAGAATGACCGTGAAAGCACTTTCTCTAGGGGACTAACGTCACAGAATCAAAAGTTCTTGCTCCTGAAGGTCGGGAGTTGTGCGGAAAGGCCGGGAATTGACTCATGTAAGAAGTTATACGGAATTCATGCACTCAAAGCTGTGTAACGTAGCCCTGACTCCCTTGACTTTGATCTGGCAGGTGCTCGTTTCACAACCCGGCCGGGACACCGGCTGTCCTGATGGGTATTTTATGGTTTTCCTAAGCCCCTCCAGATAGTACCTCCATTAGGCCATGACCACTTCCTTCTAAATCTTTTCAAATTAATTGTTCGCAACCCATCCGACGCTGTGTAGTCTGGGTACCGACTGCGTGATAAAATAACCGACGTAACGAAGAAATTGTGAGGTAAGGGATGTTACCGTCCCCTTTCTTTCCTTGTAACTATGTGCCGGCTTCGGTAGATCACTTGACTCCTGTCAGGATCGTGTTACGGTGATTACTGAGGCAACCGGAAACTGCACGCTTGAAGTTAGTCCATTGCTCGGAATCAACAACATCACTACCACTGTTCACAACCTGTTTATTTATTCAGAAGCGAAATATTATTACGTCCTTTGCAAGCACGGACTTTATATGGCCCTTTAATATTATCAAATTTTGACGATCCAAGTGAAGTGCAGATGAGTTTAGAGAAGCATGAGGAGTTCAGTTCAATGGTGTCTGCCTCCGATCAATTTAAAACGCCAAGTTTCTGAAGACTGGTATCTTGTAGGAGCGTCGCTTCATCCCCCAAGTAGGATTTGAATCGACGGCCTCTCTCCCAGGCAAAAAGAATCAATTTCCTGTTGGTTGATTTTAACTAGCCAAATTCATCATGCAATCGGCACAAGCCAATCGCATAACGACCTTTGAGAATAAAACAGTTTCCAAGATATAGAACTCGGAACCCCATATGTGGAAGAGATTATATTCTTTAGTTCATAGCCCAGCTACACCCTTCCGAAGACACTTTATGACAACTACATATGTCAACAAAACAAAATTCACATATTCGTAAAACTACAGACTTGCCTCCCGTGGTGACCTTGTCCCCTTCCGGACATCCAAACTGCATGTAAACAAGAATAAGGGCAGTTGTTTTCTGTCCAGATACGAAAAACAAGTCATAACATGCTAATAAATCGGTCTCGCCAATAAGCCAGGCACCCTTCCGAAATGTATAAAGAGGGCCATAGCGTCCGCGGAGAACTGTAACAGGTTTGGGCGGTCACAGGGAATAGAACTTTCGTCTGTGTAAACTTCTTACCGGTAAGCCTGTGAATTAGGTGACGCAACTATCTGCATTTTCTCAGTTACGGATGGGAGACATCGGAGGGAGGTAACATCGCCGAATAACATACTCCGACAGTGACGACGAGGTTCATGCATTAATTGCAAAGTCGCGTTTACGTTTATATCTATATATAGCATTCTTTACGTTTTTATGCAGTTATTGGCATTAAGCAAGGGTTTAGTAATGAGGTGTCATAGGAATGTAACAACAAAACAAACCCCTGGCTTGAGTCCGCAAGCGAATTATACTGGCCGAGCGACCGCCGCTTGTCGGCGAAGTTAGTGCAAACTTTAGCGGATAGAGGGCGTCGCGTGGTCAGCGCAACGAATCCCCACGGCCATTAATTTCGGATTTCTAGACCGAATCCCCTATTTCCTTGAAATAGCTCCTGAGTTATGCTCGCGAGGCTGAGAAGACCCCGTTCCAGACCCACTACTTCTCAGAAAATCTGGTAGAGCCGGGAGTCGAAACCGGGACCTATAGATCTGTGACAACAGCAGTGCCATTATTTCGTTATAGTTTTTTAAGATAAATTCAAAGAACATGTGTTTGCTCTCGTTAAATATGTGAGTAGTAATTGTGTTAGAAAATTTTTGACTAAGTAAAGTGATTCCGGTTTGAGGGACATCTTTAAAGATACAATGAAAACATATTTTAGTTTCAAATAGTTGCCAAAGCAGACGCTGATATTTTCGTTACAAGTAATAGAAGAGAATACATTTCCATTTACCCATGAAGTCGAACCCCCACAAGTGCGGTAAGCTTCAGTTTCCACAGGGACGGATATTCGAGAGGCATTCAGAGGCAACTGGCTGGACACGTGGTTATGTTTGTGGGTAACCGAAAAGCTCAGTTATGCCCGTTTCCGAGTCATGTGAGCGTCTAATCGACTGGCTAGAAGAGAGGGTCTCTACGTGATCAGTAATTTGATAGTTACAATTTTAGTTTTATGTGTATCCAACGTAGGTTTCTGTAGCCCAGAGCTTAATTTCGGTTACTGCTAACCTCACTCCGTATTTAGCAAGAGAACCTTCATTCAAATGCACATAAACCGTAAGAGCGAAATTCAGGTTTCTTAGAATATAATAGCTTTTCAGTGTTGTAAATGTTAACAGACCGATCACAGTGGACGCACGGTCTAAGATATTAAGTGTCTTCGCCAGCTCAAACACTGGGATCTTGGGTTCTAATCCCACTCCAGAAATGGATGTCTGTGTGTGTTTATTCTATGTCTGTGTTGTTCTGTGTGTAGGTATAGGCTTTGCGAACGGCTGATCCCCCTTCAAGAAGTCCTTCCTACCATGTATAGATTAAGAAATTGAAGAAAGCGGCCAAGGCCCAATAAAGGGCTGTAGAGCCATAGATAGATAGATAGATAGATATGTGTCCATCTATCTTGGAACATAGGGCATCCGTGAAACGCTTCGTTTCGCTTTAGTTTCTTAATCTTAGACAGTCTGTAGGTCTCCTTGGACGAGAGATCAGCCCGTCTCACGGCCGCTACTTACACAGAAACACAGAATAAACGCTGTCAAACATCCATGCCTTGGGTGGGAATCGAACCTACTATCTGAGTGTTCGAGCGACTGAAGACATTTCCTGCCTTAGACCGCACGACCACTGATCGGCAGCAGTATTGACTAATACACTTTAAATAAGGGAACGAGTTCTCTTGACACGTTGACAGGTAATATTGAAGCGGTGTGAATAATTGTTATTCATTTTTTACAGGGATGTGCAAGTTCCCAAACAACTGGTCGGGACATTGGTTTCAGTCGGGAGTTCCCCATCTTTTGATGATCAACACAAGTGTCATTGAAACGAAAGGGATTTGTGTGGAGAATGAAGGAGACAAATTCGTCATCGAGGACAGGTAAGTAAGAGAACTTAGTAGTTACAGTGCTTCACTTGTGGAGTCAGGTCTCACAGATATAGAAACTTGCCCAGAATTATCTATATTTGGAACCAAGTGGGTAACTGTGCGTTAGTGGCGGGATCAGTGGGGCTGTAGGTTTCTTGAACATTTATTCTTACATTTTCATCACGGTTTCTATGTTTTATCTTTATTGCAGACATCAGTGACGGCTGCATATGATAAAGTGTTATTAGATATATTGATATTGGTACACCAGTACAGTTGTTTCATCAAATCGAAAATATTTTTTATTGCTAGTGGGTGTGACTAAGTTCCTTGTACTGCGGCCACTTCTGGCCTACTGTACCAGCCCCAGATGATAGGTGAGGGTGATTGTGGAGCAATTGGTGGAATGAAGATTGGCAGGGAAAACCGAAGTACTCGGAGAAAACCTGCACCAGCTCCACTTTGTCCACCACAAATCCCACTTGACCAGACCCGGGATCGAACCCGGGCCGCAAATCGAAACGTTACATGAATTATAGATTTGAAGAAGAAGCGCGATATAGAGAGCACGCAGTCGAGGATTGATTCGACTTATTCATCTTACGTTCATATATATGCTTAGTATCTTGATGTCTTCAACAACATTACTGTACACTCACTGCAAATGTCGATTTTGACGAAACCGTCTCTAGTGGACAGACGGATTTCATTGCCGTTCAGTATTCAGCTACCAACAGTGGTTTACGGAGCAATAGTCGATTTCGTTTTCAAGGTAATGTAGTTGAGGTGAATCATATGTGCAATGCTTCATGTCTCTGAAGTTTCTTTTATAGAATATTCTGCGTTTTCTGAATCCAAACCACAAGAAGGGCCTGGTTCAGTTTCCCTCTTAAAATTCCGTCTGTTGATATGTTAAGAATTTTATGACGCACAGGTTTTGTCTTTTCTTTTAATTTATATTTGTTGTTGTTTACTTTTCGGTTCCTTGGTTTGCTTTTTCTTCGTTTGTTTTTTGAAATGTCGCAAGTAGCTCACAGACAACGTAGCAGAATTCAGAGGCTCAGAACTTGGCAGCAAAGTGGCATTCCGGTTTATAGTGTGACATGTTGCGCAACGGAGGACCCCTACCTCCCCAGCGGCACGTGGCGATTCAGCAACAGGACAGTAAAATTATTATTCCCGGAACGTTCTGTTACTATGGATATTGGGGTATTTTAATGATGGAAGCAAGTGGAATAGAGTAGACTGGAATACGTGACGCCTGTCATTGTTACTACACCCTCGTTTTCGAGTGATATCCTTTTGATCGCATTAGTCATTGTCCATTGGATTAAAGTGGCCGCTACTTTACACCTTTATGCTTTAAGGGCTATAAACGTTCCATGCGATCATTCCGAAACTTCTCCGATGCAATTGACATTAAGGCGTTATTGCACATGTAGTGGGACTCTCGGCATCCTTCAGTAATTGCTGCAAACGCTTCATGGAAATTATGCACGTCTTTCGATATGAGTAATAATGGAATGCATCTGAGTTTTCTCACATATAATGAAACCTTTGAATGTAGAATGTGAAGTTCTGACAGGGTGGTTATGGTCAGTTATGTCTACTGGGATATACCCCCGTGTAGTCCTTTGAAAGTCTACCAAAGCTTCTGCCTTTATCTTCAGTTGAGCTCTGCTTGCCATCTGCTTCACGCTGCCTTCTTGCTTGGACTATTTTTGGAACCTGAAGATGAAGACTGCATGTTCCTACGAAACGTCGTCTGATTTTCAACATACTATACGGCGTTATGTCCCAGAAGGTAGAACTTTTCAGTGTTTAAGTCAGCAGTTGTAGACTGATTTTAGCAACGTAGAATGCAAATTCATTTCATTGTGGTTAATGGGAATTTGACCGATAAGTAAGACCTCACAGCGAAGTTAAAGAATAAAGACTGAAATGAAGAAATTCGTGGATGGGATTTGAAGACAAGAGAGATTGGTGTGCCGATATTGACCCTAGATATTGTGTCTCTGCATGAGACCTCACACAACTTCTGATCTTGCTTCCGATTTTGAAGAGTTGGACATTTGGCTTTTAGAAACTGAATTCCATTTCTAGGACAACTTTCGTAACAATCCTTTTATTTGTTACATATTTTCGTCCACATTTTCCCGGAGATATGCTTTAAATTTATAATTACAATGATGTCCTAAGTAACTAAACACGCAGCCTTATGTGTACTTAGACGTATCTGTATATAATATACTGAATAATTATCAAATTAGGGTGAGGTTAATATTCCAGAGCTTCTCACATATTGATTCCTTATTTACAGTTTACATAGACCTGCTGTACCTTATGTAATGCGTCCTTTCTTCGCTCGTGGTTTTGAGAAGGTAGAATGTAGGAGACCTACCTAATGGCACTGTTCGCTTATTATGACAGTCTTATGAATTTACATTTTCGTTGACCAACATGATACTGTATTTTGGTTCCGTATAAGATTCACTTTGTGGACTAAACAGTTGCCAAGCAACGGAAGGATGGTCTACGTAGGTCACTTTTGCACTAAATTAAGTCATGGGCGCATTGTAACAGGACCGCTGATGGGGGAGGCGCCGCACAGGGGGAGAGAGATGGGGCGGTTAACACTGTACGAAAGATTTGTAATATTAGAACTAACGAGTTTTATTGATTAATGTAAAATTTGTACTTATTAATTGAAAGAAATTTTCAAAAAATTTCCGATTGCAGCAGACTTATCGCTTTGGTGTTAATGTGTATTGTTCTGACAGAAAGACTTGTGAAACAGCGTAATTATGTTATTTCATAAAAAATTCCATGTGAAGTAAGTACCAGTGATGGAACGTAGTGCAGCGTTTTAAAATCGTAGCAAATTCAATTCCGATGCAGCAGATAGAACCTTCATGGATAAAGAACAAGAAGGGCAGTTGTTATTTTAAGGAAACCAAATGTTAGAAACTTTCACGATCTTTACTTATTGGATGAAGCAGTTGCTAAAGACGTGCCATGTTGTTTTCTGTTTGGACAGAGAACAAAATATTTCTTCAGAGTGATTCGCAGTTCTTATTGAAGCTCACTTGCAACAGCTCACAATCTACAAAATGTACAGTTAATGATATGTATGAAATAATTCTGGAAATGGCATCTATTGTAAAAAGCGGATGATGGATTTGGTAAATCAAGTAGAGAAGGCGCCGACCTCAGTGGCCTCGCGGTCTAGGGCATGGACTGTTTTCGCTGGCTCGAACACTGTAATTTTGGGTTCGAATCCCACTCAAGATATGGATGTTTGTCTCCGTTTATTCTGTTTGTGTTGTCCTATATGTAGGTAGCAGCCTTGTGACGGACTGATCACTCGTCAAAGGGGTCCTGCCGTCTGTGTAAAACAGATTACAAAACTGAAGAAGAGGACGGGACCCAGCAAAAGGATGTAGAGCCACTGATGAATGAAATCAGGGAAGAATTCCTTCTTCCAGGGGTTTCTTCAAATAAACTGTTTCTATATAGCAAAATTATTGTTATTGTTACAAACCCATGAGTATATTCACGTTGATAATAGAAAAACGACAGATGGTTAAAAAATCTTATTTTTCTTAATAAACAGTAGGGAAATTTATGTAATAAAATGTTTAATTTATTATGATACTCTCATGGATATATATCCCAGCGATGAGTGTTCTGTTATACACCAGCAAGATAACTCATAGTGTCACATGATTATTTAAATGTCTGTTAAGCGCCAAGAATAGTGAATAGATTGATTTCGCTTTATAAAACCTGTTTCAGTTGCCTTGCGTCTCACACCAGGTACAGAGAATCGGAGAACAAGAAAGAATTCGCTGCAGTTCTGTAACCATTCATGGCATACACACCCGTTATAAGGTAGAGCATGGTTTGTATGGCGTGAATTCAAGCGCTTGTTCTACTGTGCGCGTAACTGGATTGGTTCAGTGGTACTGAGACCCTCTGTCAAAACAGAACCCCCACTGCTGCAGGAAACAACTGCTGCTGTCGATACACGTGTATTGAATCTGACTTGCTTAACTTTCACGTACAAAAGGATACAATTTGGCGATCCTGCATTCAAGGAGATGTGAATACAATCAATGCTGAATTTGTATCATTAACCCTGTGTATGTGGGCATTTAAATGCCCCCCCTTGTTGCGCATAGAGTAGCATTTTAAATATGCTGTGGCTCTTACGACGTTCCGTTTGCAAACACTGTTAGCGCATACATTCTGAATTAGAAGAATAGAAACACAAACTACACTTCGGTAGTAAACAGTTGTTAAAAGTTATTCAAGTGATACAGAAAGGACACATTTTTAATTTATGCTTTACGTGAATTAATTTATGAAACCAGATCCAATTTGTGCTAACTTAATAAGTGGTGTGAATGCTTCCTCCCTTCCCCTCGACGCTACAGCTCAGGGTGAGCTTTGGCCTCCTCAACAATCTGCCTCCGTTCTTCTCTGGTCTTCATCCATCCGAGGCTGAGTGTCTTGTTTCTGAACAGTTTAGTATTTATTTTTGTGAGGTTGTTAGCCTCACTCCCAGCCCCCAACTTGGAAGACCAGGGTATCCCTCTTCATCTGGCTGCTACCCCTTTAGCTGTCCGGCATGGGTGACCCTACCAGTAGCTACGCTACCGCCGGCATAGCTCCCAGTGTCTCAGGAGCTCTCAAATCCCACCACCACGATAAGATGGAGACACCATCGGTGGGGAAGTGTATGAATAATCCACCTAACATGTAATATAGACCCATAAGAAGAAAATAATTGCTCTAGCAGTTTCTTAGCTTTCTAAAGATGGTGGTCTAAAGATGTGGAGTTATAGAGAGCTCAAAGAAGTGTGAAGAAGATTGAAATTTGGAAGAAATTGGTAGGGACCTGTTTCAGGAAATTACTTCAGTTCGGATAACGTTAAGCCTTCCCCGATCTGCTCGATGATTGTTATAATTCGGGTGCTGTGCTTTCGAGATATACGTAACATACTAAGAAG